GAATTGAATCCCTATTTCTGATTTTTACAAATCACTTGTACTGTATTTCTTTTCCTTATTATTTCAATTTGAAACAATCTTTTTTTTGTCACCATTCTGCTTGCATGATTAAACTAGAAAATGACTACGAGGCGCAGACCTCCACCAGAAAATTGTCCCCCATCTTGTGATTTAAATATATAGCTCAAACTCACGCATGATCTGGATCATTATATTTTAATTAACTATTCTTTGACATGTGGCAAACTGCTGATAAAACGTTTGTTAAAATCCATTCATAACCTTTTCAATTCATCCTGCGAACAGAAAAAAAAAAAAAAAAAAAACACAAACTCCTCAAAATATATCCTCCATGGTAAAGAAATGAAAAACTGCTAAGTTTAATCAGACTCCTTGCTTGTTCTTAGACTCACAGCTGAGGGTCAATTAAAAGACATGAGGAGGATGTTAGAATGATTTATATTGGACTTATATTGCTATTGCAAAGCGTCAGACAATTCTACAGCAAATGTTTGCCGTGTCAATGGCAATAAAATCTCATGTCCAATTTGGTTGGAGGGTGTGAGCAAAGAAATGTGCAATCTCCATATATATGGCAGCTCGACACTGATGGAACATTTCTAGTGCTGGACACTGTCGGCCTACAGCGGCAATCATGCGGTGGAGATTTGGGTTGTGGAGTTTCCTAACCTTAGCAGTCATCAGTTTCCCCGACATCCAAGCCAGACTGGGTAAGACAAAAAATTAGATTAATAAATATAGTTTTCTTTACAGTTAGGTATTTACTGTTTGATGTATTTGTTTCTATCATCTGCTGTACAGAGACTTTCCTAAAATCTCTACATAAATCCTTTTTTTAGTTCGCAACCATGTCAGCAGCATCTGCAGCACATGGGGCAGAGAGCACTTCAAGACTTTTGATGGTGATGTTTACCAGTTTCCTGGCATGTGTGAGTACAACCTGGTCTCTGACTGCTACCAGTCCTATCAGGAGTTTGCGGTGCACATAAAGAGGACAGAAAACGATGGTAACCCTACAATTAGTTACTTGGCGATCACCATCAATGAAGTCTTGTTCCACCTCAGTAAGAGCTGGATATCTGTCAACTATGAGCAGTAAGTAAAAAGTCTAAAGTTGAGAGATAAACGGCGCTTTTTCACTATCACACACAAACTAAACAACAATGTATTATTTGTTTTTTTCTTTTGTCAGAGTTCATCTACCTTATTACAAGGGAGGGGTTCAAGTGGAAAATAACGCTGCTTACATCAAACTTCAGGCCAAAGTGGGGATCACTGTCATGTGGAATGGAGATGATGCAGTGATGGTAAAAACCTGCAAACCTTTGGAACATATTTATGATATTTATGATATATGCTGAAGTTAACTGCTTTCTGATAGATGTTAAAAAGCTTTGATGACTATAAACTGGATAGTCTTTAACATGAAGGTAAATTTATGGTTTCTTAAGAAAGACAACATTATGTTAGGCCTCTACACTGGAAAAAAATCGAAGTCTAGATAGGTCATTTTTTCTTTAAATAAGTGCATTTGTTCTTGAATTGAGGAGGTAAAAGAGACATTTTGCCAATGGGAGAAGACAATTTACTTTTAAAATAAGAAAAAATAATTATATTGTCTTATTTCAAGTGCATATTATCTAATTGTCTTATTTTAAGAGTAAAAATACTCATTCCATTGGCAAACTATCTAATTTACCTACTTAAAGTAAGGATAAATGCATTTAATTTGAGAAATTCTTACTTATTTCTAGATCATTTTTGCAGTGTATGAACTTAGTTTAGATTTTGTCCTGTCTGGCAATGTGGTAAAAAGAATAATTTTCTTGATGCCAAAAAGAGCCCAACAGATTTTGTTATCTCCATAGCGCTCTGCTTAATTTATGCATATAAATATCTTTATTATTGTAGTGACTACATGTACAAAACTAAAATTCAAAAATCAAAAAACGTATTAATGAAGTTGATCGAAGCAAAAGGTGAAATCAACTCAAATAGTCGCCTGATGCACTGTGGATTCTGTTAAATTTAGTTTTAAGAACTTTATTTGATCTATTTTAGGTGGAAATTGATGGCGACTTTGCAAACAAAACTTGCGGTCTTTGTGGAGATTTCAATGGTGTTCCAGTTTACAACGAGTTCATCCATAGCGGTAAGTTTAAGGTTATTTAGTATGATTCTTTTAGAATCTGGGTTATGAAGCTCTGATCATGTCACACACAGGCCGAAAAATCAGCCCCATCGAATTTGGCAATAAACACAAAGCCCACCTCCCCAACGATGACTGTGACGACCCCTATGAGGAGGAGGATGAGCTGCTGGAGGCTGTGGCTCTCCCAGATTCCTGCAAAGAAGTTGTGAGTTTATGATCCAGTTAATGTGCTGTTAAAAATACACAACCACGTGCTAACCTCCAGACTGTTCATCTGTTTGTCCTTTACAGCAAACAATCTGTGAACAAATGTTTCTGTCAGACTCGTGGAGTTCATGCGCTAAACTCATTAACCCCGAAGTTTACATCCAGGCATGTGTGAAGGACATGTGTGGCTGTAGTAACAGTACCAATGACTACTGCATCTGCAGCACACTGTCGGAGTTTTCTCGCCAGTGTTCCCATGCAGGAGGACAGCCCCCCAACTGGAGGACACCTCAGTTCTGTGGTAAATACTTTGAATTTGTTGTATACTTTGAACGACTGTCCCACACTGTTCTGTGGCTAAATTCTAATAATAATAATAATAATAATA